CATTAGCCTCCTCATTGGTCTCCCTTCCTCAAAACTCTCCCCTCTCCAGCTCATCCAACCCCCAGCTGCCAAACTGATTTTCCTAAATTGCAGGTCTGATCTTGTCCATCCACTGCTCGATAAATTCCAGTGGTTCCTCATTATCTTTAATATAAAATACTCACTTTTCTGCTTGGCATTTAAAACCTTTCACAACTTGGCCCCACCTACCTTTTTAGCCTTATTATACATAGCTTTTGGGGCATAATTTCCATAGTTTGGGGCAAAGCCCTTTACACTCCCAACAAGTCACTAAAACTAATCTTATTGGTCCTCAGACACAATATTCGATTTCCAATCTCTATCACATGACATGAGTTTGATAGAGTTTGAGTAACTTACCAAGGGTTATATATTAGTAAGTGTCTGAGGATGAATTTAAACTCAGGACTTCCTAACTTCAGGCCCAGTGCTCTATCCACTGAGCCATCTAGCAGCCACAGGTTTCATCAGTCTGCCAAAAGGGTTCATGTCACAAAAAACATTAAGAATACTTGCTGTAATTTGGAACTGTCCCCCCAAAGCTATTTAATTGAGTATACCTTTTGACTAAGAGATAATGCTACTAGGTCAATACCCCAAAGAGATCAAAGAAAAAGGAAAAGGACCCACACATATTTATATCAGCCCTTTTTGTGGTGGCAAAGAATTGGAAACTGAGGGAGTACCCATCATTTGAGAAATGGCTGAACAAGTTATGGTATATGGACATGATACAATACTATTGTGCCATAAGAAATGATGAAGGGGATGGTTTCAGAAAAACCTGAGACTTGTATGAACTGATAAAGAGTGAAATGAGCAGAACCAGGAGAACAATGTATGCAGTAATAGAAATATTGTAACAACAATCAACTGTGAAAGACTTAGTAACTCTGATCTACACAAGGCCCAAAGGACTCATGTTGAAACATGCCATCCACCTCCATATAAGAGAACTGATGGACTTAGTCAGATTGAAGAATATTTTCTTCTATTTCTTTCTTTATCTTGCTTTTCTTCTCTTCTGGGACATGGCTAATACAATAATTTGTTTTGCATGACTACACAGATTTGTAATGGGTTTTGTATTTCTTGCTTTCTCAATGGAGGAGAGCAAGGGGATGAAGGAGGGAGAGAATTTGGAACTGAAAATAAAATAAAATATAAAAAACCTTGCTCTGTATGTACAACTTGTCTCTCCCAATTAAATGTAAGCTCCTTGGCGATAGAGACTGTCTTTGTATCCACAGTGCCTGGCACATAACAGACTTGTCATAATTGCTTGCTGATGGATTGATTCCCTTCTCTTTGCTTCCCTGGTATCCATTCCTTCCATGTCTGATGTTTTTGCCCTCTCTCATAACAGACCTGGGCATTAGCAGAGGGGAAACATAATCTCTCTTTCCCAGCCATTTGGTGGTAACATCTGTAGGGGATGTTTCTGTTGGGATATAGTGTTTCTGCAAGGACTGCCAGTACCAGGACCCTGTCTTGATGGCCTCAGTGCCAGCCAATTCCTGGATTGGCTGACCTAAGGATATGATGCAAGAGACAGGAATTTTGGAGGCAAGAGAAATGCTGGCTGGGACTGGGACACACTATTAGATTTGCAACAGGTGGTGAACCATGGACATTACCATTAGCCATCGGGGCCTTTAAACATGGCATCTTTTCAGTTCTGGGGACACAGCAACAGATAGGCACATGAATAAGACTCAGGGCCCAGAGAATTCTGGGATTCTGGTACCACAGGGATACAGGGTTAGGGGTCCTGTTGTCACATAAGTTCGTGCTGCTATGACTAAGAGAAGCACTAAAAGTTTCTATAGTGTTTCTCCCTCCCAATGGGGACAATCTGTTAGGAGTTAAATGCTTGGTGTCTCACTCCTATTTTCCTAAAAGATGGAAGTTTATTACAAGATATGAACTTTCAGGTTGCCTGTCTCTCTCTGTGTGTCTCTGTGTGTCTCTGTCTCTCTGTGTGTCTCTGTCTCTGTCACACACACACACACACACACACACACACACACACACACACACACACACACACACACACAC